ACGCTTTACGACTTTTGTGCTATCACCTATCACTACTTATGCGGATGCCCTGGAGATGATAATACTCGCGGCTTCGCCGATGGAGGTGTTAGTGGAACCATTGCCACTTGCACGATAACATGGTTCCTGCTTGCAAACATGCTGCGCACGGTCTTCTATGATGTTCCCCACCAGCGACCATAACTTGGATGAATGACCAAAACGTCGACAAAAGTGACGGGGTGTCCCGGGCCCAAGTTTTGCCAGCTTCTCGAACTTCGTGGCCCGTGTCCAGCATCCCTGGCGATCCCTTCCCCAATGCAACTTCACGCTGACAGTCTTTCAATCCCAGACTTCGGCGTTTGCACCCGGAAGGCAACATGGGCTTCCAACCGCGCCTTTCATGTTGCCTACTGTGTGTTAACATCATCGTTGCGTACCTATTGCTCTCACTGCCAGTGCTGATATACGGATGATTACTCGAGTTGTTAATGGCTTGAAAGCTGTTTCCATTCTTGCCATCCTCTTTTCACTTGGTGCCTTGGCGCACGAATAGCAGATGTGCACCAAGCCCAAAACCTGGCTCACCCTGCTAAATCCTAGATCGATGAGAGGTGCTAGAAAGGATTCCGGGTTTTCGCTTGTCGGGGTTGTTTAGGGGCCCCGGACCTCTCTCTCGGAACTTACGGCGCCCTCCTTGGAAACGCCCTGTGCTACCTGCAAGATTCCTTTTCTCCAGCTGGAAGCTCGAGTTCTCCTGTTCTCCTGGCAAACGGCCACTGCCACGCGAAGGCGAGTTCGTATGTCCAACTGTTGGGCAGAGGTAGATCCGGTGTCTGGTTGCTGCACATGATGCCTTTGACTTGTTGATCTGGGGCTTCGGGGACGTCCTGCCGCATCCCAACATGAGAAGGCTTCCAGACTTGGGGTTGCCAGGTGCGCCTGCTGCGCTACCGCCATGTGCTCGCTTTAGCTTAACACCTGCCCCTCTGTAGGGTCTCCCTCGCCCGCCTGCACACTGCAGACTTCTTGCAAAGACAGATCTTGAAGACCGCTTGTTGCGCTCTCAGAGACACATGGATCATTCGGGATCTTCCAAGCCCGAAATCACCTGGCCATGTCCAGGGCGCAGCTGAGCACACGTAAACTTTGCAAGCAAGAGTTGAGACAGCTCGGCTCGGCTCTTCAGGTGTTTCTTTTCCAGCTTCCAGGTCCACATTCTTGGACAGATTGGAACACGACTTCTCGTTTCAACGGCTCACGAGCTCGCCCCCAGGCCCCAGCCCCCAGTTCCAGCAGAGTGACTCAGGTTTTCACTTCGATGAAGGCCGTCGAAGAACATGGCCATGTCGGCTCAAAACCCCCAGTCCCAGCCTGCCTCGTCCGGCCCCTTCGTGTGCAGAGCATCACATCATACTGCTTCCTTGCGCAGATTCGCAGCCAAAGGTCTCTTGTCCGATATAGGGGATCAGATCACAGCTACGGGTGAGCTCTGCACACGACATCTTGCAGAACCCCAACATCTAGTAGCCGATAAAAGGAAACCATTAAGTCTACCAGGAACATGGACCCTGGGCTTTCGTCAGTTCTTCAAAAGTCCCCAAGATGCCTCCGCCGCAACAAGACAACTGCCAAAATGCAGTCAGCTCTTAGGAATAGTGACCAAAAGCTGCTTAAAGACACACTCCCCAAAACAAAGACAAAAAGCACCGAAGGTCACTCTTGCAGGGCCCTGACTCCAAGTAGGGGCTGTGATGTTCGGCTCTGTGGTGCAAGGTGTGACGTTCGGATCAAGCGGCTCACTACAAATGCCTCCTGACGAGGTGGAACAATGCACTACGCCATGCTTATGCCGCTGGCACTGCGCATCGCACGGACCCTCCGGCACCCAAAAAGCATGGCTTATGCAAGGGAGGTGCAATCCCGGCAGCACCGGACACTTCCACCACGTTCCCCCAGAGCCCCCGAGCTTCAAGTCGAAGCAAAGTCCTTCAAAAGCCCAATATTGAGGAATTCTCCGGAGAAAGTATCTCATTTTTCTGCACGCTGCGCTTGTTTGCAAAGTGTGGCAACAAAAGTCGATCAGCACCAATCGAGATGTCATGCAACTCGCACTTTATGACCCCAGATGAAAGTCACTCCGACAATATACAGTCAACAATTCGATGGATGGCCTCGTCTGGAAAACCGTTGAGACTTCGCACGGGAAAGCCTCGGTGAGCGCGCGATCTGCGGCCCTGCGCTCCCTGCTTTCAATTGAGTTTAAATTAGCTGTTCAAGTTAGCTGTCACATCTTGTTGTCAATGCGTGCAGCACACAGCCTGGCGCCTGACCGAACCGGAGCCTGTCTGGGGCTTGGGGCGATTAGGTCCTATATGGGAGACTCACCTCGAAAGCCGACTTGGGCTGTGGCGTATGCGCAATGGAAGTCGACCCCAATGGACCTGGGCTGGGTTGCTTCCGGCTATGAGGTGGTCCAAGAGGCCTAGGCCTGGCGAAAGCTGCAAACTTAAGTGTGGAGACTCTGTGCCTTTTCTCTGCTCGAAGGGATTCTTCTACTGTCTTGTAGAGCGTTTAACGCTCCAGGGAAGTGCGGAGCGCTTCAATCTGCCTGGCGGTGCCGGCGGTCCTCAGCCAAGTGCTGAAAGAGTTCAAGGCCAGCAGCCGAAGCACCTTCGTGAAGAGCAGCAGCACCAGCAAGCAGATGTTAAAAGTGTTCAATGACTCGTTGGCCTTCCACAGCTGCACACAGAAGCGTAAAGTGTAGACGGCAAGTCCCAAGCCAGACACCGCAACGCAAAGGCGCTTCATGTTGATCACAGTCTCCACCTTCTCTGGGCTCACGGTGCCGTTGGCGGAGGCCTCGCGCACGCGGCTGCCCAAGCGTGTCACCAGCGCCGCGTCGCAGAGCCACAAGAAGACTACGGAGACCCCCAAAACCACCAGAACCACCTCAAGGAAGGTGGCCTCGTCGTAGTTGTTGACCATGAGCGACACGCTGGAAAAGACGTGGATTGCGTATATTACGACAAGCATCACGTCTGCGATCGCACATTGGCGGAACAGAAGAACATAATCTGCCAGGGTCTTGTTCGCGGTCTGGGTGACGAAGCTAAGGTATCGGCGGAAAGAACACATTGCGTGAATGGCAATGTGATGCCCAAGGCCCCCAGAGGGAAACTACGCCTGAGCTTGAGCCAGAAAGCTTACCATCTGTGTCGGCACTCCGCGAGACTTTACATGGGCATCATCTTCGGCAGCCGAAGATGCCGTGCTCGAAGCTTGCTCCTCTCATAGACCACGCTCCGAATGAGAGGGGACCCGTGAGCTCGAATGAATAGAAAACGGGTTATGCATGTACGATACATGGAAATCTGGAAGTCTTCTCCCCTACCCCTTGCTTTCCTTGTTTTAGGATTCCGCTTAACTTACACACAAAGGTACCAAGGCCCAGCATATAGAGAACCCTAGCTTGCCCAAACTAGCCCCATTCGGGCGGGATGGCATCCCGTCCCTGCAGGGGGCCCATCGGGCTTGGGGGCCAAGTAATTAGGTACCGGGATTTGGGCCCTTCGTAGGGCTTGTTGGGTATGCGAACCCTTGGGAAATGTAGTCATGCCATCGCTTTTTGAGGCGAACAAGGAAAGGAAAGGCCCCGGCCGTAGGAAATCGTCACCTCCTCCCAGCTCTCATCTTTCGATGCCCTGTCTTAAGATCGTTAGGGGGATGTTGAGGGTAGGGAAGTAGGGAGGTGGCTTCTAGAGGGCTTCTGTGGACTGTGACTCAGGAGCTCCCAGTCTTCCAAGAGCCCTCTTGCCCGGCCGGCACAGCTCCTGCAAGATCCTTCACTTCAAGCCCAAATCAGCACGCGAAAACCCCCGCTTGCAACTCCAGACTCTGAAAACCTACAGTCTTCCGCGAGTCCGAGCTTTTGAAAAGACGCAGTCGCGTGCTCTCTACATATAAGGCCAGCTAATTGCAGTTTCGTCAGCTACTGCTTTTCAGCNNGTGCAGACGTTCATTACACCGGGAGGCAAGCAGGAACTCATGACAATATCAGCACCTGCGGATTCATCGTGGCACTTCGCCCACCACCCTGCCAAAGTGTGGAAGCAGCGATCAATGAGCTCGACACTGTAATGTAAGCTGCCCGCCTCGATCGTCATCGTCCAGGTTCGTCGCATTGCTCGGCCTTGGAACCAGGTAGCCCATGTGTTTTCAAAGGGCGAAAGAAGCAGCAGACTGGCAGAGTCTATTCATTCGAGATTTTGTGCGTAAGGTTACACAGGTCCTGCTTAGAGCAAGTTTTAAGGTTTGGAGCGCAAGGAGTTCCGCGATAGCTCAATAAACACAAACAGTCACGCACAGATCCAAATCGTCCCGGTTTTGCTGGTCCAGGATCCGCCCCGCCTCTGCGCCCCAAGGGTGAGACCGTTCTGCATTTATTGGGATTCCGAGTATCCCACTTCCAATGGCTAATGAGGCCGGCAGAACGTGCCACTTGCCCTGGGGATGAAAAAGCCCGCAAGCTTCAAAACCCCTGTATGTACAGATGCTGCGGGCTTCGATCCTTCAGCGCTACTGTACTACGCATCGCCTAGGTTCAGGTAAGTTGGTGTCGCGGTCTCGCAGGGCCTGGGCTCTGGCCGGGCACCTGCGACAGACTCGCTTTGCAGCAGGGGCTGCATCCTCGCTCGGAGCATGCTCCTGCAAATCTGGGACAGAGGTTTAGGGGCGCTTACGGGGTTTATAGGCTGTAAGCTTTGTCAACAAAACAAGCTCTGGTACTTGAGATTCGTGCTGCTTCTCGGAGTCATACCATCTCAGTGTCATCAACGCATCTGTCCGCGACTCAGCTGGCTAAGGAAGGGCATCCATATGCCAGATTGCGTATGCATGCACCTACACATCTAAATATCTCGCTGCCCGCCTAGCCAGCTAGCTAGCTATACCTATTCATACTTTATGTTTGGCCATGATAATAGCCGTGCAAGCACGGTCAGCTTTGTTAAATACAGGGTCCGAGGATGAGCCGGGGATGAGCTTGTGCAGATGCCTCTCAGCACAACTCCCGCCAACACAGCCGCAAGCGTACATTCATGCATGCATTCAGGAACCTCCGCATGTTTGGAATGTTTTGTACAGTATCTGTGCATATATATATATATATGTAGCCGAATACACGGCGCAGGATGAAAACCCATTGCACAACGAGTGCCATGCAGAGTATTGTGTCCAGTCTACAAGACAACCCATACGTGCCATACAGTATGTAACAGTAAATTACACTTTGAACTGCTAGCTACAATTCGTGCAGAGCACGACACAGTCTTGCAAACGCTGTGCACCATCTCATGTTACATCAAGATGCATAACATCATGTAATTAGTGAAATGTTATAATACACAACACGAGCTGATAAATATCATATTAAATGGATTTACCTCACGCAGTATATCAACGCCTTCAAGCATACCTTTACAGGTCGATCGTTCTGGCAATGCCGAGCATGCTGATGGTGCAAGGGGTCAGCTGTGCCGCTAGAAGGTTGCTAGAACTGGAACCCAGGAGTTTGTCCCGTCAGGCGAGCCCGCCAGCCCTCAACATCCAGAATACACCACAGGAATCGAATTTCGGATGGCGCAATTACTGTATCGGCCTGAAAAATTACAACAGTCTTTAAGCATAAGGTATAGTATAGAACCAAAAAGGGAAGTGCAGGTGGTACTCTTACCAATCAATCAGACTTCTATGTTGCGCAATGAAGCTCAGGGTAGGAACTCAAGTTTCGTACGCCGCAGGGCCTTGTTGAGGTGCGCTCGCTGCAGGAAGTCAACAATAGCAGGGTTCCCACAGGAAGACGCGTGCTCCAAAGCAGTGAGTTGCTGATCATCCGTTTGGTCGATGTCGGCGCCTGCTGCCACGAGGAAGCGGGCTATCTCGAAGCGACCATGTGCGCAAGCCAGGTGAAGAGGAGTCCGTCCTGCAATGTTGAGGGAGTCTATGTCGGCCCCAGCATCGTTCACTAGGAAACGGATCACCTCAAGGCGCCCGTTTGAAGAAGCCAGATGAACCGGAGTCTCTTCATCATCATTGTGCATGTGCACATTAGCACCTGCATCCAGCACCAGAAAGCGGACCTCATCCAAGTGCCCGTTTGCAGAAGCCAAGTGAAGAGGTGTATTTCCATCACTCCCAGGCATGTCAATGCTGGGGCCCGCACCCAGCAGGAGGAAACGAACCACATCCAAGTGCCCGTTCGAACAAGCCAGGTGAAGAGGAGTCTGCCCCTGATTTTCCAACATGCTCTTCTCGGCACCACCATGGACGAGAAAGCGAACCACATCCAAGTGGCCATGTGCAGAAGCCAAGTGCAGGGGAGTCTGCTCATCAGGACCCCACCGCTGAGTGTCGATACTTGCCCCAGCTTCCACCAACAAAGCTGCCACCTCAAGACTTCCGCACACGGAGGCTTCATGCAAGGCTGTGCCCAAATCCGGATCTTGAGGTCCTCGGCTCTAGTGGTGTGCGGCCATAGAACTCACCCCAACACCCTTGGAAACAGAAAACACTAAGCATTGCACTTGCTGCAGTCCATGCTTTCTGTGAGGATTCAAGGGTCTGTGGAGAATGGCCTCAACATCAAGCACATTGTCATTCCGCGCGGCTTCAGCTAGCTCATTGATTTGCTCGCTGGAGGTTTCAGCACAAGGAAGCAGCACAAGCTGCAAATCCTG